AACGATATACTACACCCAGTTTGCTTCCACAGTGTGAAAATAAAACCACATCACCGAACAGTGCACTGCTTTCAGATGTCGTTCTAATATTGTACTTGTGCTGTTTAATTCTGAGTTGCAATGCTTTCCCAGTCTGTCCTGCATAATTTCCATTACAATTGGTACATGGAATACAGTAAACACTTCCATTTACATTCAAGGTTGGGCTATTCTTAATTAACATATTAGTAATAGTTGAGTCATACTTAAAAACAACATTAATTTTTAATAATTTAAGGGACAAATTCATTGCGATAAGGTAGTCAAAATATTCTTAAATGTAGGAACTTGCCTAGTTTGAGTAGAATGAAAGGATTGTTTAGCCCTTTTAAAACAATGATCAACAAACAATGAAGGGTACCCAAGTTTTTGTGCAATGGACTGAATGTGTTGCAGTTCTTCATCAATAAATTCAGGGTCACAAATACGCAAATATCTCAAAAACATGGCAGAAAAAACTGACATTTTGGTAGATTCATGAAATTGTCTACCCATCAGGCCCTGAAGCTTTGTTATTTTTCATCTGTATGATGGCAGTAGCTACCACATCCACAGATGGAGGATAGCTGAGGTGGGTCAGCTCTGGATGCTGAGGGACTTGCTGGGTAATCAGGACATCTACATCGGTGTTTCGGTTGAACAGCGAATGGTAGTGCTTTTTCCAGTGCTGAAAGATCCCTTCTTCATCTTTAATTAGGGAGTTACCATCAGAAGAGTGGAGGGGGCTGCGCCATGAGTGATTGGCCAATGAAATGTTTTAGTGGAAATGAAATTTCGTGCACCTTGTGCCGATCTGCAAGTTTTTGCGTTTCACATGCTTTATTTTTAAACCAGAAGTTCTTTAGTTTGCGAAGTTTGCGCTGTGCCGCCGCTTTCTTCTGCAGAAGGTGTCAGCTTTGGTCCAAAACTGAGGGTTATTCAGCCAGTCAGTTAAAACAGCACGTTTATCATCGACCAGTGCATTGTTTCTGGGTCATTTTCATCAAACCAGTCCTGGTGTATTCTTTTGATCTGACCGAGGGTTTCTCTGGAGGTTTTTGTCATAGCAGTGTCGAGAATACCCCATTCGGCACTGGGATTAGGGTTGCTTGTTGTCGGATTGTTTATCAGCCCATGTTCGAGCTGCTCTTTGAAAGCATGTGCTACCACTGGATCCTCCAGACGATTAGTGTTAAAACCTCTTCTGGAGGCTTGTTGCCTTCGCCGTTTTGGGGCGACGTGAAGTGAGTGCTTGGCTCTAACGAGTCGATGATCAGTGTCGCAGTGGTCTGTGCCACACATGGTACGGATGATGAGGACATCTCCACGATCTCTTTCTCTGTCTATAATGTAGTCAATGAGATGCCAGTATTTGGATCGTGGGTGTTGCCACGAACCCTTGAGCTTGTCGTCCTGCCTAAACAAGGTATTGGTGATAGTGAGGTTGTGTGCAGCACACTTGCTGAGGAAAAGGCCGTTGTGATTACACTTGCCTAGTCCATTTCTCCTTATGATTCCCTGCTAAATGTCAGCATCTCTGCCAATTCTAGGATTGAAGGTGGCATAAACGGCCTCCTTGATATCATCCTCTGCAACTTAGTTGGAGCGTATGCACTGATGAAAAAGGCATGACGTGAGTGATTCAGTGGGACTCTGAGCATCATGAGGCGCTCGTTGTTCCCAACAAGCATTTCAGTTAGCCTGTGTAGGATGCGTTGGCAGATGGCAAAGACAATACCATAAATGCGGTTTCTCTCTGCAGCAGCCTTACCCTTCCAGAAGTAGGTATTGCCAGAACCCCGTTCTGTGAGTCGACCCCCGTCTGGGAGACGGGACTCACTAATGGCTGCTATGTCGATGTTTTAGCTCGCCAGCTCTTTTGCCACAAGGGCGGTTATTCTTTCAGGACGTTTATTTGTGCCAGTATTCAGAAGGGTCCTCTCCCTTTTTTATGATCCAGTGATGCAAGTGTTGCAACGACTGGGTAGAGGGAGAGTTGCAATGGACTGCCGATAGCCGAACATGTTGGGTTTCGCCTTAGTAGCCTGTCCATCATGCAATGCCTTCGTCAGCCGGTGTAGTCGTTGGGTTCCCATGGTGGTCACCTCTTCCGCCAATACCGCCTTTGGGGTCTTGTAGGAGCTCTGTAAGCATGTCTGCCTGATACGGGGCTCCACAGCAGATATTTTGTTCTGGGTTTACTCCCGTAGCCTTATACCTACCAAGGTTAATCCGCAAGGAAATGGGCCAGTGGTTGGTAGGTGCCAGGACGTGTCCACATGCCAGTGGGCCTATGCTCCGTCTTTCTGGGGCCCACTGCTACTCCGAGATCCCCTGCTGGTCTAGTCTTGTCCCACAAGACACCCAGTTACCGTGTGTTGCCACGAGGAGGCACAGCAGGAGTCTTGATGGTGTGTACTGGCAGGGTAAGACTAATGCAAGTTGCTTCCCTGTTCACTACCAGGGTTAGCCAGCAGCGGTAGCTGAAAGCGAGAGGAAGCAAGCAGTGCTTGCAACTTAACACTAACATAATGCTGCCACACTAGACGCATTACACGACCCTGTGTGCGCTACACACACACACACACACACACGCGCGCGCGCTACACACACACGCTCACACACACGCTCACACACACGCACACACACACACTCCATTAAGCTCGACTGAATTCACAGACTCAATACCCAGGTGAATTTATGTGATAGTAATGGCTCTCATCTGCAGGTAAGATAGTCCTACCTGTAATAGCGAAGAAAATGGAATATAGACAGTGTTGTGTAAGATCAATATTATAGTTGATGTGATGATGTAATTGGAATAGAAGAAAGAAGTGAAAAGGAGATGAAAAAAGAAGAGTAAGAGGAAGAATAAAGGAGAAAGGATGATGATGATGATGATGGAGGAGAACACCACGAGGAGGAGGAGGAGAACACGGGGAGGAGAAGACGACCATATATACCTGGAGAAAAAAATATATAGTTCCGGTAAAAAGGGTTAATATGAGGTATAATTTGATTCCAACCAGCCAGTCAGCATCGATCCTTCCGCCAACCTGTCATCAATTACTGGGGCTAGGGTGGGGTGGGGTGGGGTGGGGTGGTACTGGGATGGAACTGGGATGAACTGGGGTGAGGTGGGATAGACTGGGGCAGATTTGGTTGTTGGAACTAGGATGAACTGGGTCAAATTCGGTGGTTGGAAAAGGGATAGACTTGAAGTGGAGATGGAGAGTGAAACTGAGACGTAGACCTGAGAGGTGAACTGTTAGAGAATTTTGGCCCAATGTGTGTCAAAATCCACCTCAATTACTCCACAACCAAGTGATAAAAACCAAGGTGTCGTCAGCTTGAAGCAGAGTCGTAGGTATACTAATTCCTGTTTACATAACAACTCCCTGGCCACCTGAGGCCCGCAAACAACAGCTTAATTAACAGTTATTACCTGTCCAATATAACCTGTTTGATTTATATTGAAATACTTAAAAAAAAATCTCGTATACCTATAGCAGTTTCCTAGAGTTTATGACTTAATACTCTGGCACCCTCCTAAAAAATATATATCGGCAGCGAGCCATGGCGTTCGGGAACCACTATCCCAAATTGGAAGATAAAAAGTTATATTCATCAAGCTGTTGTTGTTGTTGTTAAAGATAACGTTTAATAGGGGTTAGGTTATGAGGAGATAGTAACTACTGGTGTTGTGTTTGGGTTGGCGTTGGGTTGGGTTGGCGTTGGGTTGGGTTGGCGTTGGGTTGGGTTGGCGTTGGGTTGGGTTGGCGTTGGGTTGGGTTGGCGTTGAGTTGGGTTGGCGTTGGGTTGGGTTGGCATTGGCGTTGGGTTGGCGTTGGGTTGGCGTTGGGTTGGGTTGGCGGGCTGCGTTGGGTTGGTTGCGTTGGGTTGGCGTTGGGCTGGGTTGGGTTGGGTTGGCGTTGGGTTGGGTTGGGTTGGGTTGGGTTGGTGTTGGGTTGGGTTGGCGTTAGGTTAGGTTGGGTCAGCGTTAGGTTGGGTCGGCGTTGGCTGGGTTGCGTTGGGTTGGGTTGGCGTTGGGTTGGCGTTGGGTTGGGTTGGCGTTGGGTTGGCGTTGGGTTGGGTTGGCGTTGGGTTGGGTTGGCGTTGGGCTGGGTTGGGTTGGCGTTGGGTTGGATTGGATTGGCGTTGGATTGGATTGGCGTTGGATTGGGTTGGCGTTGGGTTGGGTTGGCGTTGCGGTTGGGTTGGCGTTGGGTTGGGTTGGCGTTGGGCTTGGCGTTGCGTTGGGTTAGCGTTAGGTTGGGGGCTTGGCGTTGGGTTGGGTTGGCGTTGGGTTGGGTTGGCGTTGGGTTGGGATGGCGTTGGGTTGGCTTTGGATTGGATTGGCGCTGGATTGGGCGCTTAGCGTTAGCTGGGTTGGGCTTAGGTGGGTTGGCGTTGATTGCTGGCGTTGCGCTTGGCGTTGGGCTTGGCGTTAAGGTTGCTGGGTTGCTGGGCTACAGGCGTTGGCTGGCGCTGCGTTGGGTTGGGCTGCTATGCTGGTGGGCTGGCGCTGACTGGGCTGGCGCTGGGCTGCTGGCGTTGGGCTGGCGTTGCGTTTGGGTTGGGCTGGCGTTGCGTTGGGCTGGGTTGGCGTTGGCTGTTGGCTGTTGGATTGGGCGTTGCGTTGGGCTAGCGTTAGCGTTGGCTTTGCGCTTGTTGGGCTTGCGTTGGGGCTTTGAGCTGTTGGGCTGATTTGGGCTGGCGCTTGGGTTGCGTTGCTGGCGTTGGGGCTTGGCGTTGGGTTGGGCTGCTGGCGCTGGGCTGGGCTGGCGCTGGGCTGGGTTGGCGTTGGGTTGGGTTGGGTTGGGTTGGGTTGGCGTTGCGTTGGGTTGGCGTTGGGTTGGGCGTTGGGTTGGGTTTGCTGGGCAGTTGCTGGCGTTGCTGGCGTTGCTGGGCTGGCGTTGGGTTGCTGGCATTGATTGGGTTGGGCTGGCGTTGGGTTTGCGTTGGGCTGGCGTTGCGTTGGGCTATGGCGCTTGGCGTTGGCTGGGGCTGGCGCTGCGTTGGGCTGGCGCTGACTTGGCGCGCTGACTGGGCTGGCGCTGGGCTGATTGGCGCTTGGGCTGGCGCTGGGCTGGGCTTGGCGTTGGCGTTGGGCTTGGGTTGGGCTGGCGCTGGGCTGGGCTGGCGCTGGGCTGGCGTTGGGCTGGGATTGACTGACGTTGGGTTGGGTTGGCGTTGGATTGTTGGGTTGGCTTGGCGTTGCTGGGTTGGCTTGGGTTGGGTTGGCGTTGCGTGGGCGTTGGGTTGGCGTTGGTTGGGTTGGCGTTGCGTTGGGTTGATTGGCGTTGCGTTGGGTTGGCGTTGGGCGTTGGGTTGGCGTTGGCGTTGGCGTTGGGTTGCGCGTTGGGTTGGCATTGCATTGGGTTGGCGTTGTTGCTGGGTTGGTTGGGCGTTGGGCGTTGGGTTGGCGTTGCGGCGTTGGTGGTTGGGTCGCTGGATTGGGGTTGGCGTTGGGTTGCGTTGGGGTTGGCGCTTGGGTTGGCGTTGGGTTGGATTGGTTGGGTCGTTGCGTTAGGCATTGGCGTTGGAGTTGGCGTTGGGTTGGCGTTGGTTGGGTTGGCGGGTTGGGTTGGCGTTGGGTTGGGTTGGCTACGTTGGTTGGGTTGGCGTTGGGTTGGGTTGGCATTGGATTGGGTTGGCGTTGGGTTGGCGTTGGGTTGGGTTGGCGTTGGGCTGGGTTGGCGTTGGGTTGGGTTGGGTTGGGTTGGGTTGGCGGCGTTTGGGTCGGGTTGGCGTTGGGTTGGGTTGGCGTTGGGTTGGGTTGGCATTGGGTTGGTTGTTGGGTTGGGTTGGGTTGGGTTGCGGGTTGGGTTTGGTTTTGGCGTTGGGTTGGCGTTGGTTGGGCTGGCGTTGGGTTGGGTTGGGTTGGGTTGGCGGTTGGGTTGGGTTGGCGTTGGGTTGGGTTGGGTTGGGTTGGGTTGGGTTGGGTTGGGTTGGCGTTGGGTTGGGTTGGGTTGGGTTGGGTTGGTCGGCGTTAGGTTGGGTGGCGTTGGGTTGGGTCGGCGTTGGGTTGGGTTGGGTTGGGTTGGGGTGGGTTGGGTTGGCGTTGGGTTGGTGTTGGGTTGGGTTGGGGTTGGGTTGGGTTGGGTTGGGTTGGGTTGGGTTGGGTTGGGTTGGGTTGGGTTGGGTTGGCGTTGGTTAGGTTGGGTTGGCTTAGGTTGGTTGGGTCGGTGTTAGGTTGGGTCGGCGTTAGGTTGGGTCAGGGTTGGGTTGGGTTGGCGTTGGGTTGGGTTGGCGTTGGGTTGGGTTGGGTTTGGTTGGCTTAGGCTTGGGTGGCGTTAGGTTGGGTTGGCGTTGGGTTGGGTTGGGTTGGGTTGGGTTGGGTTGGGTTGGGTTGGCGTTGGGTTGGGTTGGGGGCTTGGCGTTGGGTTGGTCGGCGTTGGGTTGGGTCGGCGTTAGGTTGGGTTGGTTGGGTTGGGTTGGCGTTGGGTTGGGTTGGCGTTGGGTTGGGTTGGCGTTGGGCTTGGGTTGGGTTGGGTTGTGGCGTTGGTGGTTGGCGTTGGTTGGTTGGTTGGTTGGGTTGGCGTTGGGTCGTGGTTGGGCTTGGGTTGGGTTGGCGTTGGGTTGGCTTGGGTTGGCGTTGGGTTGGGTTGGGTTGGCGTTAGGTTGGGTCGTTAGGTTGGGTCGGCGTTAGGTTGGTTGGGTTGGGTTGCTGCTGGGTTGGGTTGGCGTTGGTTGGGCTTGGCGTTGGTTGGGTTGGCGTTGGGTTGGGTTGGCGTTGGGTTGGGTTGGCGGCGTTGGGTTGGCTTTGGGTTGGCTTGGCGTTGGGTTGGGTTGGCGTTGGGTTGGGTTGGCGGGTTGGGTTGGGTTGGTGCTGGGTTGGGTTGGGTTTAGGTTGGGTTGCGTTGGGTTGGGTTGGGTTGGCGTTGGGTTGGGTTGGCGTTGGGTTGGGTTGGCTTGGGATTGGATTGGCGTTGGATTGGGTTGGCGTTGGGTTGGGTTGGGTTGGGTTGGCGTTGGGTTGGGTTGGCGTTGGGTTGATTGGCGTTGGGTTGGGTTGGCGTTGGGTTGCACGGCGTTAAGGTTGGGTTGGCGTTGGGTTGGGTTGGGTTGGCGGGTTGGCGTTGGGTGGGATGGCGTTGGGTTGGGTTGGGATGGCGTTGGGGTTGGCGTTGGCGTGGGTCGGCGTTAGGTTGGGCTTGGGTTGGCGTTGGGTTGGCGTTGGGGCGTTGTTGCTGGTTGGGTTGGGTGGTTAGGGTCGTGGTTGGGTCGGCGTTAGGTTGGGTTGGCGTTGGTTGCGTTGGCGGGGTTGGCGTTGGGTTGGGGTTGGGCTGGGTTGGCGGCTGGGTTGGCGTTGGGTTGGGTTGGCGTTAGGGGTTGGGTTGGCTGGCGTTAGGTTAGGTTGGGTTAGGCAGCTGTTAGGTTGGGTTGGCGTTAGGTTGGGTTGGCGTTAGGTTGGGCTTGGCGAAGGCTGGGTTGGCGTTAGTTGGCCGTTAGGGTTGGCGTTATTGGGTCGGCGTTAGTTGGGTTGGCGTTAGGTTGCTGGCGTTAAGGTTGGGTTGGCGTTGGGTTGGGTTATGAGATGGTACCTGCTGGTGATGATAGTGGAGGAAGTGCAGGTGGCCGTGTTAAGCTAACCCCCCTACACTCACTTCAATAACAAATACCCATAATTACTTGCTAGTTAATCGTACATACCTAATACATATACTAGGTCAGTGAAAAAGTTTAGCTTCCCAGATTTTCATTAGTTATATATCAAATCTGGGCATTATTCTGGGTAAACGAAAAACAATACCCAGATTTTAATTAGTTATATATAAAAATCGGGACATTATTCTAGGTAATAAAAAAAAACCCAGATTTTAAGATATAACTATTGAAAATCTGGGTAATCTTTATTGGTGAACCTGTACAATGGCCAGATTTTAATAATACATCCATTTAAAATCTGGGCATTCTTTTTCGATGACTACACATATACCGAGATCTTCACTATTATAATTTGATCTTGAGCCGAAACAAGGAGTAAAATTTCTCGGTTTCGTCCCAATATTGTCAGAACTAATATATATGTGTACTGTCTAGGAACACACTGGCTTGAACCACCACTGCTGGCACTTATAGTAAAAACAAACATGATTAAATTATATTATATTAATTATTTCACACACGAAAACAAATTATTATACCTTGAGCAGCCTATAACAAAATGTGAATCACTTAGCATAATTTATTAGCGAACATATTATAATTTGTACGACTTATTCGCGAACATTCAGCAATTTTTATGATTTATTCACGAACATATATATTTTTGGGAGGGGGGATTTTGACTAATAGCGATATTTAAGGTTTTCAAAAGAGTTCAAAAAATTATAATATTCAGAGAGTTATTGAAAAGAAAACTACCGTGAAAAAATTCTGCTCCGGGGTATTAACATTTACATAAGAGGCGAGGCTGTCTTTCTCAACCCAGTGTTATCGTTTTGCCAGTTCTTGAAAAAATATATTAACTATACAAGATGATAATAATTCTTACAGAGAATATCCAAAGTATTAAAATGTTTACTCGTATATAATATTTTCCCTCAAAGTATTTAAAGAGAAATAGTTCAAATAATAGTCAATGACATCATATTTTGTGATCCTGAACCCGATACCAAAATGTGAACCTATGTTAACCCCAAAACGACAGCATTTAAACATTTGTGAATCCGAACCCAACCCTATTTGGGCCTTTGTGAATCCAAACCTAAACTTTGTGAATCCAAACCTAAACTTTGTGAATCCAAAACCAACCTTTGTGAATTCGAAGCCTACACCATTTAAACCTTTTTAAACAAGAACCCCAACCTCTGTGAATCCGAACCTAACCTTTGTGAATCTGAACCCTACACTATTTTAACCTTAATAAACCCGAACCCGTCCTTTGTGAATCCAAGCCCGAACATTTGAGCTTCTATGATCTCAAACCCGACACCATAAACAAGTAAAACTGCCGAGACACTACGGAAAAAAAAAAGATTCTGTGAACAGCTAAGAAATATATATTTTGGGGAGAGGGACATTATTGGTCCGTGTAGTGTAGTGTAGTGTACTGTGCTGGGCTTAATGGGAGAATCATGAGAGAGAGTCTCTCTCTCTCTCTCTCTCTCTCTCTCTCTCTCTCTCTCTCTCTCTCTCTCTCTCTCTCTCTCTCTCTCTCTCAATGGCCATCGCCTCACGGTAATCTTCCATGACGTAACTCCCATCTACAGAACAAGCAACAATAAAATATATATAAACAGTAAACCTCTGCTAATTTTTTTTCCACTATTACTCTTGTTACTACTATGTACAGGTTATATGCCTCTAATATGGTTGTAATATGACCACTATAACTACAGTAATATGTACAACTTTCATACCCCCAAAATGCTTCTCATTTCCACTCTGACCCTGTTTAATTATAGGTAATAAGGCCTCTATTACTAACACGTAAAGGTAATATGCCTCCAAAACGCCTCTAATATGACCTCTATTACCAATATGTACGGCACAGCTTCTATACCTCCAAAATGGTTCTAATATGTTCCATAATCTTTTAGGGTTAATTTCCGAGGTCGCATCTACAAAGAGAGTAGCCCTTTTTGTTAGATGGAGCAGTCAGTCAGACAGACAGCGGACGGGCGGACAAACACTTTATGCCTCTGAGGACATAAGAGTTACATATTCCTTTGGCTTAACGAAAACGCGTTTTGATACACCGTCTTTGATGTTTCTACCGAGAGAGGGATGACTTGGAGGAGACACGCCCCCCCCCCTACCCCCTCCCTCCAGGTGACGTTACCAAAGTTCACGTGAAATTAGTATCGCTCGAGGCTTCTGTTGCATTAGTTGATGAGGTTGGAGAAAATCCACCCAATATCAAGATGAAATATGACAATTGATGTGGATTGGGTGAATGGGGTGGGATTGGGTGCATGGGGTGGGATTAGAAGTGGGAGGATGGGGCAGGTGGGATGGTACGTAGGATGGGGTGAGGGTGATGAGATGGAGGGAAATGTGGGAGGAGGTAGAGGATGGATAGGTGATGGGAGAGGTGAAGGGGGAGATGGGAGGAAGGAGGGAGATGGGAGGAAGGCGAGGGGAAATGGGAGGAGGGTGAGGGGGAGGAAGGTGAGGGGGAGGAGGGTGGGGGAGAGGAGGAGGAGGAGATGGGAGGAGGGTGAGTAGGTCAATATTGGGAAAGATTGCGGGAAATTGGGACACTAATTATATTTCTTTCTTTTTTCCTCGAGTGATACATTGTGTACGAGAACATCTGTACAGGTGTGAGGGAGGAGGACACCTGCACACAACGCACATCTGTACAGGTGTGAGGGGAGGAGAAGGAGGACACCTGCACACAACGCACATCTGTACAGGTGTGAGGGGAGGAGGAGGAAAACACCTGCACAAAACGAACATCTGTACAGGTGTGAGGGGAGGAGGAGGAAGACTCCTGCACACAACGACCATCTGTACAGGTGTGAGGGGAGGAGGTGGAAGACACCTGTACATAATGAGCATCTGTACAGGTGAGAGGGGAGGAGGA